CTCGGACTGACTGAAAATTCTCTTTTGACGATGCCGACAAAACGGAACCTCATAGATGTACAAGTAGACGGCGTAGATGTCACTGCTCTTGTCGACACCAGCGCCCAAATTTCCATGATGACGAGTAATTTTCACCGCAAGCTCAAGACGATTCTCACACCTGCAACCACTCAGTTCGTCCGTGTTGCGAATGGTGGTATAGCATCTATCGTTGGAATGTGCTCCGCTCGTGTGAGCATTGCGGATCGAGACACAGTTGTTCTCTTCGCCGTCCTTGATAAATGCCCCCACGACGTAATCTTAGGCCTCAACTTGCTGTCCGCGCATTCTGCCCTCATAGAATGTTCGACCAGTACGCTCTATCTACACTTGCCCGCAACAGAACCTCTTACACAACGGCCGAGTCGCCTCTGCACAACGGGACACGCGCGCCTCCCTTCACAGACACTGACCTACATAGAGCTCATCTCAATACAACCAGTTCCCCATGGTGACTATGTTCTGACCCCTATCACTGATGTCCTCATAAGCCGTGGCAACACATTACCACACACCATTCTGTCCGTCAAAGGAAATCCTACGTGCCTCCCAGATGTCAATTTTAGCTTGACACCTCAAGTTTTGCCACAAGGGATCTCTTTCGCGTTGCTCTGCACCTTAGAAGACAATGCGGTAGATGCTTTCGCGATAGCCGCCCCTTCTGACCCCCACGCTCAACATCAATCTACCACTCGCTCCGACAGCGCTATTAATTCGAAGATCGCTTCCAACTTAACGACGCACCAGACTGATGAGCTCCACCGGGTTCTGCTGTCCTACATCGACGTTTTTGACATCAGTGGCCATCCGTTGGGGAAAGCTACCGGTATGAGCCACCGCATAAACACTGGTAATGAGCATCCTATTCATAGGCGTCCATATTGGATGTCGGTGGCCGAGCGTCACATCATCCAAAGTGAGGTCGACAATGTGCTCGCCAAGGACATCAATGAGCCATCCTGCAGTCCTTGGGCTTCTCCTGTAGTGCTAGTTCGCAAGAAAGACGGTGCATGGCGTTTCTGTGTGGATTATCGACACCTAAACAAAATTACCAAAAAAGACGTCTACCCTCTGCCACGAACAGATGATGCGCTTGATTGCCTCTATGGGTCCCACTATTTTTCTTCCAGAGACCTTCGTTCCGGCTACTGGCAGATAGAGGTAGATGAAATGGACCGTGAAAAGACGGCATTCATCACCCCCGATGGCCTATATCAGTTCAAGGGCATGCCCATCGGCCTTTGTAACGCACCAGCCACCTTCGAACGAATGATGGACTCCCTGCTCAGAAGATTCAAATGGTCCACCTGTTTGTGCTACTTGGATGACGTCGTCGTCTTTTCACCAACATTTGAAACTCACATAGAGCGCCTCTCAGCCATCCTGGGAATCTTTCGTCGCGCTGGCCTGGAGCTCAACTCGTCCAAATGTCACTTTGGACGCCATCAAATCACAGCGCTTGGCCATTTAGTAGACGCCAACGGTGTACAACAAGACCCGGCAAATATCAGCGCCGTCAAAATCTTTCCTGTACCACAATCTGCGAAGGATGTACGCAGCTTTATCGGACTATGCTCCTACTTCCAACGCTTCGTGAAAAATTTGCGCACACAGCGAGGCCGCTTACGCAGCTCCTCAAGAAAGAAGTCTCGTTTTATGGGGCTCCGAAGAGGCTTCTGCGTTCTCGACTCTCGTCGCTCTTCTCACTACCCCTCCGATTCTGGCACACTTCAACCCTGCTGCCCCTACGGAAATCCATACAGATGCAAGTGGGCATGGCATTGGGGATGTGCTGGCTCAGAAACAACATGGCCATGATTGCGTTATTGCATATGCCAGCCGCCTCCTATCCGTCCCTGAACGTAACTATTCGATAACAGAGCGTGAGTGCTTGGTCCTTGTACGGGCGGTGGCGAAATTTCGACCTTATCTATACGGACGCCCATTTTCGGTAGTTACCGACCACCACGCACTCTGCTGGCTCAACTCTCTGAAAGATCCATCAGGCCACCTTGGTCGCTGGGCTTTGCACCTGCAAGAGTTTTCCTATTCGGTGGTGTACAAATCTGGCCGCCTACACCGTGATGCCAATTGCCTCTCCCGGTACCCTGTCGACGATCCTGAGTACACTGACAAGCCCACGGAGAACTCTATCTTGTCAGTGTCCGGCTTCCTTAATAGTGGGGAAGAACAGAAGCGTGATCCAGAGCTGCTTGACATCATCAGCCGTATAGAATCCTCCACAAATGATGCTTCCGTCCGCTACTTTGTCATTCAAAAGGGTGTGCTATACTGTCGCAATTTCTGACTAGACGGGCCCGACCTTCTCATTGTTGTGCCTAAGCATTTGCGCCGCTGTGTTCTCACCGAACTTCACGACGCTCCCACGGCTGGACACCTTGGCGTATCCCGCACGTACGAGCGCGTCCGGCGCCGTTTTTTTCTGGTCAGGCCTTGCTCGTTCGGTACGCCGATACGTTGCCGCGTGTGACCTATGCCAATGTCGTAAAACACCGTCGCTGCTACCCGCTGGCCATCTTCAACCAATTGACATACCCGCGGAACCATTTTACCGTGTTGGGTTAGACCTGCTTGGTCCTTTTCCCACATCAACATTGGGAAACAAATGGATAGCCGTTATTACAGACTACGCTACACGCTACGCTATTACGCCAGCTCTACCGACCAGCTGTGCAACCGACGTCGCTGACTTCTTGTTACGGGACGTTATATTGATTCACGGCGCTCTGAGACAGCTTCTCACAGACCATGGCCGTACATTTCTATCCCAAGTCATCGCCGATATTCTGCGTTCTTGTTCCACGCAACACACACTGACAACCGCTTACCACCCTCAAACAAACAGCCTCACGGAACAATTTACCCGCACTTTAACAATCATGCTCGCTATGTACGTGTCGCCCGACCACCGAGACTGGGACCTTGCCTTACCCTACGCAACTTTCGCGTATAACTCATCCCGTCACGACACAGCGGGATTTTCGCCGTTCTACTTATTGTACGTAAGAGAGCCGACTTTGCCACTGGACACAGTCATCTCAGCTCACACCTCGTCCACAAGCGAGTATGCCCGCGACGCGATTGCGCGAGCCGATCATGCCCGTCAGTTCGCTCGCGCTCGGCTGATGGCGTCGCAAACCAACCAATGCCGTCGCTACGATGCGGAACATAGAGACGTACATTTCGCTTCTAGTACCCTCGTTTTACTCTGGTCCCTTCATCGTCGGCTGGGCCTATCCGAAAAAATTCTGTCTCATTACATGGGACCCTACCGTATATTGCGTCAAGTAACACCTGTCACCTTCGAGATCAGCCGCATCTGTCCATCATCATCTACTATGCAGCCCAGTGATGTCGTACACGTCTCGCGGATCAAGCCCTGCAATAATGCGTCAGATAACGACCTTTAAAGCACCGGGACGGTGCCTCCGCCACCGGGGGTCTTGCTACGTGCCAGTGCATTGAGCTGAAGAAGACAAAGCAGATAGACTGGCACGAGCTAATCTGTATGGCTGGCGCTGCTCGCCTAACAGGCTGTAAATACATCGGTGACTACCCCTCTGAGTCAGTCTCCTTCCCGTAACAATATCTCATCCTAATCTTTCCATATGAGATGTACTCAAAAGTATACAAACTTCGATCGTAAACTGAGATAATCTCTGTGCATTCTGTTTTCACTGCCCATGAGCGAATAAAGTGTCTTTCTTTCGGCTTTAAATGCCTGAATTTACAGCTATTTATCACCTTGATGCTGTGGTGACCACGGCACACAAACCTACGCAGCCTCCACCTCGTCACTGTTTAGCCCGGCACCACACAGCTAATCGCTGCTACACGCTTCCGATAAAAGACTCTGCCACGCAGTTTCACCGGAGGCTTACGTCACCACTACTGGCTATATAACCCAAGTTACCAAGCTTCGTTTCATGTTCTGTTTCTCAAACCATCTGAAGTGCAGCATCGGTATGCGTGCCCTGCTGTTGCTATTACGTTAATTAACATCGGTTCATTTTATGTTGCGTTCCGTCCTCCACCGACTCCACATTTACATTTGGTGACCTAGAAATCGACCTAACCACACCACTATGGCCGACTCAGATACCTCACCGCTCTCCGCCGTAAGGTGCAACAACTCCAACAAGAACAACTAACCAAACAACAGCAGCAAGCTCGCCAACGCTTCCACAAGAAAGATGTGCCCACCGGCCCGCTGAGGACGTCAGAAGTCCTACAGAAGCCACCCCGCACGCTGCTTTCTGCGTGTGTGCTGTCAAGCTTCCGCCGTTTTGGGCGAGTCAGCCGAGGTCTGGTTTGACCAGGTACAGGCCCAGTTCGCCCAGGCGCCATTAACTAGACCGGACCTTCTACGACTACGAACACTTAAAGACCGCACTTATTGGTCGCTTATCCCTCTCAGAAGAACAGAAGATACATTTGCAGTCCGCTGAGCTCGCTGAGCGCAACCCCTTCGCAGCTCCTTCACTACATGCGTGCGCTCATGGGCAACATGCACGTACAGAATTCTTTCCTGCAATTAAGTGGCTTGCAACGGCTCCCGCCGCACCGCCCATAGAATTCTGCTGGAACACAGGTCAGGCTACCTCTAGGCGAACTTGCGGAAGATCGCGTCGTCGAGGCCTCCTTACCGCTGTTGTCGCCCACCACCCAGGCTGTCGCCGCACCGCTGAACACCGCGGAGCTTGCGCCCGTATCGACGACATCGATTGACGGCTCACCCCATTCAACAACACTTGGTGAACGTCGACCGATGCGGCAACGCCACTATTCGCCAAGTCGTGACCGTAACACCACTCATTGACCGCAACTTGACATCAACGGTCTGTGTTACTACCACCGACGCTTCAGCGACAAAGCCGGCAATGTCGACCACCTTGTTTCATGGGACATGTCGGGAAACGACAATGTTGCACCTCGTAGAGATGTGTTGGAATGCTGAACAACCCGGAGGCCGTCGCATCTTCGTCATCGACCAGATCGCGAAGCAGCGTTACCTGGTCGACAGAGGTACTGACATTTGTTGCTACCCGCGATATGACCTTCTAGGACCTCACCCATCGATATCTTTCGAGCTCAGCGTCGTAAATCGGTCCACAATCGACACGTACGGCTCACTGCACTGGAACATTCAGCTCAAGAACTCACTCCACGACCTTCACTGGAACTTTGTCATCGCTAACGCTGCCGAGCCAATCATCGGCTCAGACTTCCTGGCTCACTACAACATCCTTCCAGACTGCCACAGCGACTGTCTCGTCGACTCGACAAAGGGACGCCCCACACCAGGCCAGCGAACAACCGACCAACAGCCAAACATCAAGGTCCTCAGTGTGGATGATCGCTCGCCGTACTATGCTATCCTCGCCGAGTTTCCCGGCTTGAAACGCCCAAGCAGAGTTCCACGCAATATGCAGCACACCACCGTGCACTACATCAGGACCTCTCTAAACCCCCGGTTTTTCGCCGTGCCCGTCGCCTCCCCCAGACCACATGCGCATAGCCGAAACAGAGTTAAAAGCGATGCTCCGAGAAGGCATCGCCCGTCGCTCCAAAGGCCCACGGGCCTCATCACTTCACCTTGTCCCGAAGAAGACCACTGGCTTACGCCCATGTGAGGACTACGGCGCCCTCACCGCACGCAATATAACAGACAGGTATCCTGTCCACCACATACAGGACTTTTATGGCTGCCATTTATGGCTGCCACGTCTTCTGCGTGCTAGACTTGGTGAAGGCTTACATGCTCATACCCGTCAGTCCGAACGACGTCAAGAAAACTGCAATAATTCCCCCGTTTCGCTTGTTCGAGTTTCCCTTCATGACTTTTGGCCTTGGGAACGCTGGGCGAACCTTTCAGCACTTCGACTTCGGCTCGACTTCGGCTTTGTTCATCTTGACGACATATTGGTCTTCTCACGTGATGCCGAAGAACACCCACCAGCTCCAACGCCTTCACGACCCCGGCCTGCTCGTCAACGTCCAGAAGAGCACGCTTGGCGCTTCCACCATCCATTTTCTCTGCCACGAAGTTTGGTCAGAGTGAACTCGAGTCCTGCCTGATCGTATCTCTGACTTGCAAAAGTACCCTCAACCCACCACCGCTAGAGACCTTCACCGTTTCCTCGGCATGCTGAACTTATATAGTCGCTTCTTACCGCACGCCGCCGACTATCAGGCACTCCTTCATGATGTCCTGGCTGGTCTACGTGAAAACCAACCCGTTACGTGGACACCAAGTTTGGTTGAAGTTCTTGAGGAATGCAAGAATGCTCTCCACATCCCCACGATCCTCTCCCATCCCGTCCTAAACGCTCCCTTGAGACTCTTCACGGACGCCTCTGGCTTCGCCGTCGGCGCCACCTCAATGCAACGCGTGGACAAAATATGGCACCCCTTGGCATTTTTTTCAAGGAAACTCTCAGCTCAGAAGGTGAGCCCTTCAATAGCCAGTTCC